CTGTAAAAACCAGCACAGAACAGGCACAAAGTCCTAACCCACAATGTTTAGGATCTGTAAAAGCCAGCACAGAACAGGTACTATGTTTTAACCCACAATGTTTAGGATCTGTAAAAACCAGCACAGAACAGGCACAATGTTTAGGACCTGTAAAAACCAGCACAGAACAGTCAGAATGTTTAGGATCTGTAAAAACCAGCAGAGAACAGGCACAAAGTCCTAACCCACAATGTTTGGGACCTGTAAAAACCAGCACAGAACAGGTACTATGTTTTAACCCACAATGTTTAGGACCTGTAAAAACCAACACAGAACAGGTACTATGTTTTAACCCACAATGTTTAGGATCTGTAAAAGCCAGCACAGAACAAGCACAATGAGGTTACTGTGGGACAGCAACCACACTGCAGCTCCACAACACCAGCGTCCAAAGCCAGGCAACAAAGTCCAACCAAAACTCCTTGGATTGGACAAGAACAAAGCAAAATCCTGTGTCCCAACAGGTCTGGTCCCTCTGCATCACCTGGGATGGGCTGCTTGCTGGATCCACCAGGTTCTGACAGGCCATCTGGATCGCTTGGTTGGCACGGGCAAACTGGATTGGGTCAACGAGGCCCTGCTGACCAGCCTGGCTGTTGGGATCTGAGATACCGACCAGGTAAGCAGCCTACAAATGGGGAAAAGAAGAAAACAATTCTAATAAATCATGTTCATTGTGTCTAGGATCTCTGGTAAGCTGGCCATATGTCATAGCACATGGTGGTCAGAGATTATTCAGAAATCATATTGTGAAATACAATTACCATTTGGTTTTAGCAATACATCACCAGAACCCACTGAAACCAAGAAAATACACCCTTACACTTGCAAAATATAATTAGTTGAAACAAAAGTAATAGTCCACTGTTTAGGCAAGTGCTGTTCCTGAAAGCATTGCTTGTCACTTGCACAGCCAATAGAGCTTTAAGGATTACAGGTACTGGAAATTATTTACTGTACTAGCCATGGTTGGAGGCAGTGGAGGTTTTTGTCAAGACCAGAAAAGCAATCCAGCAATGGCACTTGTGCTGAGTACAGATCCCAGCAGGCCTGCAGCTGCTGGTCTCACTGCAGCCCAGAGTGGCTGATGGCCAACCTTACCTCCTCTCTCAGTTAAAAGTTTCATGCCTCTCAACAGCCACAACTTAACTGTCACAATCACACATGAAGATTCCTCATATCTCTTACAGATACAATTATCTGGCACCTTAACATGCCAGTAAGGCAACTCAGAAGTGAAGGAGATTTAGTCCATACCACGACACTACACATTTGGGGAAATTAAGAAGAGGTTTTCAGATGCAAAGCACGATCCCCACAGCCAAACCCTGCACCAAGGTGACTGTATCAGCTCTTTATAGTTCACTCAGTTATCAGATCAGTGAAACCACAGAGATCAGACCCTAATTTAGAATTTTGGTTATTCCAAAAGTATAACAGCTGAAACAGGTTTCTTCTTAGTTCCAATGTCTGAAAATTGTAGTGCTCCTTAAGAACTTCTACAAACTAGAACTTGATTCATTACTTTTAACTGTGGCTTTTTTGTGCATTTCTCTATGATATAACAGTTCTGAGCTTGAGCTGCAAACATGAATTCCATATGCTGCAGATTTGCTTTATCCTCAGAAAGCTTCCTTCTAGATGGCATCTCCCTTCCTTAGAAAATACTCATGTTATTGCACTCTGCTCCTCCTGCACTTTGTGCAATTTCTGTGACATACGCAGAACACACTGTGTAATACAAACTCATCCCTTGTTTGACCACAGGGAAGTGAATTTCAGATTACAGACCCAGGACATGAGCTTGCTAAAACATAAAAACTTAATTGCTTTACAGCCTTCAGTCTCTTACCTGAGCTGCTGCCTCTGTCAGGCCACAAAGAGCCTTGGATGCAACTCCAACACATTCTCCAAAGACCAGAAGATCCCCAGTTTTTGCATTCTGGGAAATGCCTGCCATTGACTCTCCAAGAACCTCAGAAATTAAAAAAAACAAAGTTAACTTCCAAATATGCATCCCTTCCACTTAGAGGCAAGCAATTGCTCGCCTAAAATCAATTTTGGCCCACAAAAATGTTGGCCCCCTGGACTTGGCTTCCAGAATTTTTAGACATCACTGAAATGGGCACACTGCTTTTGTGGTGTGAGGGATCAGGCATGCTCACCAACACTGGACTGACAGGGAACAGAAGCTCTGCTGCAGCTCAAATGACTGAGAGGGTACAGAATTACCCCTCATTCATTCTGCTGTCATCCATTAATTATTTATTATTATTATTATTATTATTTAATAATTAATTAGTATTTAATTAACAGCTAACCTGGCATTAGGTGCATTTCATGCAGCCTGCATGGCAGTCCTGCAGATGCTGTTGACACCTACAGGATCATCTTTGTACCCAGACTCACTGAGGCTCAGTGGGAATGAAACTGCACCTGGACTTCTGGAACCATGTTAGGGTCAGAATGCACATGAATTCCCACAGTATGTCCCACTGAATTCAGTTCACTTGGATTTAAAATTCAAAATGAGCTCTGACTGCAGTAGAACATTAGATGCAAGATGACACACACATCCATTAGGTAATTTCATTTTTCTTTTACAGAAGAAGGAATATGAGACCATTCCAACAAATCAAATAATGACACAAAAGCCAGCTTCAAAGGAAGATGTACAGCAGAGTTGGATTAAAAGTAAGTGAAGAGGTTTCCCCACAGGTTTTCTGATGTGCTGGGGTGTCTGGACTGCTCAGACATTTGGCAGAATGGGATTTCATTGCCAAGCCCTCCCATTCATGCTTTGGGCTGTTCTAACACAGCTGCAGTCAAAATACAGCACCCAAAGTATGACATGCTGTCTAGTGCATGCCAAGGAGAGGAAGGGAGAGAGGAGAAGCTTTCAGAGCATTGTGTACCTGTCACTTAATTAAAAATTTCTTACTGAGGGAATACAGTCAGTGACCAAAACCTGAAATTACCTGTAAGGGACCAATCTCAGGCAGAGTTTATCAAGGAGTGTAGCAGACATTTTAGCAATAAACACTGACTGCACCTCTAACATTCAATATGCACGTGGAAACCTTTGAAAATCCAAACACATTTTATAACTCACAGTGAGGTGGGAAAAAAAATTACCTTGGAGTTTTCCATGACGCCCTCAATACAATCAAAATATGAGAGATCACTCACAGGCTCATTTGGGTTATCCAGCATTCCCTTCACTGTCTGAAATAATGAAAGCAACTGATTATTGACAGAGTCTGAAACACTGAGCTGAGAAGAACACAGACCATCATGCCTATTCTGCTTATCCCAGTGCAAGCTGACATGTTTATCTCCAGCAGGCAGCCAAAGCTACACATTCCTGAGGGTGTGCCATGCAGGAAACCACAGCTGACAGGAACTGAGCTCTGGGAACTCCATGTTTGTGCACCAACAATCTCTTGGAAATTCAAGTTTACCTCGTGTTTGTGATGAGTGATATATGGCCAGAGGTGCAAGGCTTGACATGAGGCAGTCTGGTTTTCTGTCAGGTGTCAACAGTGTAACACACAGTTTTCAAAATAGTTTAATTTAATTTAAAATAGTTTTCAGTACTATTTTAAATTTCATAACCAGATTTAAAGAAGTGGTAAGAAAAGCAGCTGCCATTTGTTGAGCACTGTTTGGAAACACGAAGGGTTAATGAACTGAGTACACATCCACCACCTGCCTGCCTCTTACAGTGTCAGATTCCCCCAACACAGGAAAATTTTCTGTCAGGAAACGACATAGTTGGGTTTAATTTCTTTTTTTGAGGTGATTCTGAGTCCTGAATATAACAATGTGACAATCAGTCATATATTCATTGAGAAGAATGAATGCAGTTAGATAACAAAACTTGTAAAAAGCTGCAAAAGGCAGAAAGCTAATTCTTTTATATATAAAAATATCTGTAGCACTCCTTTTTTCAAGTCTTAAGGAAAACTATTTTACTGCCAAATATCATGCAGAAAAGACTTTTAATCCTTCTGATGAAAGTGAAATCAATATGGACTTGCATATTAAGAAAAATCACAATATCCTGGAATGACTTTTGTATCCTTGTGATACTAAGGGCTGGAAATAAAAAGTTTAATGGTATTTTATGCTCTCCACAGAGGCCAGTCACCCCTTGATGTTTTGACCTTGACAGAAACCAACAAATATCTAGTTTAAATTAAAAGATTATTTCCTTCTACTGACAGTGGCCTGTCTGTGATCAGTGGAGGTCTCTCAACTGACCCATTATTTAGCCAGCCAAACCTTTCACTCAGGACCAAGAACTTTATTTGCAAGAACCTGTACTGACACACACATTGTATCAGTTTGACAGGGAAGGCACAAACAAGGCATTAGAAGGCTACACTAAGAAAGGTCAAGGTAGGAGACTGCAAACATCGAACTAAAGTGGGCTGTCAGCAACAACTTCTTGCAAGTGGAAAAACCAAGATACTGCAGCTCCCTGCAGTGCACTGGTGCAGTAGAAACGTCCATCTTGTCATGATTCTTCCTTAATGAACAGTAAGTATGAATAATAGGGACTAAAGTGTATTTTTGGAGGCAGGACAGAAGAGATGGGGACAGGGTAGCAAATTTCATTGTGGCCAAACCTAGCAGATGTTTACATGGGTTCCATGCTCACCCTGTACCCAGTTAAAACCCCTGCCACAGATGAAGTGAGAGGACAGTAACAGGAGCTATTCAAACACAGAATATAAGGGAAACAATAGAAGAACTTTTGACATATAGTAATACCTCCAGTTCTCTGAGTGCATTATCACATTCCTTCTGCCCAGGAGCTTGCTGGGTGCACAGTGTGATGAGCTGGTTTATACTCTCAGTCACAGCTCTGGGGAGAGTAGGAGGAAAAAAGGTGCATTTAAAAATTGAACTATTCCTCTTAGTAAAACTGTTGTTATTAAATGTACACTGCATAAAGATATGAAACTTGGATCATCTACTACACAGCTGAGCCCAGTGGCACCTCTGGGAAAACACTGGTGACAAAAGAGACAACACCACCTGGCAGCAGGACAAGGCCAACTTATGACACTGGCACAGTGACACAGTGTAGCTGCTAAAAGGTATCTCAGCACTTCTCCAGGTCTGACATAAACTGAATAATTTCTCAACTTCCACCCCAGAAGCCCTGAAGGGTCCAGAAACAAGTGTCTGGTATGGAAAACAATGGGGAATGTAAAGCAAATATTATTTACCTTTCTCTAGCAGTCTTGTCTCACATACTGCAACACACACAATCCTGCTATCTCTATAGTCTCTTAGTGAATCAGCCTTTTTTCTCTTTAACTAATAATTGATATTCTCCCACAGGTTTATATCCCCAGAGAACAGGTTATGCAAAGGCATTGTGTTCCTGTGGGAGCTCACAGCTCCTGCACACAGCCTGATCCTCACATACAACAGTCACTGTCTGATCAATGCTCTGATAACAGACAAAATTCATTATAACTACATTAACTCAGACTCATGACTAACAACCCAGGAAAGTGGCATCTAGAAGAAGAGAAAATCAGTGAAATTGGAGTGCATGGAGAATATGCTTTCCTCTGGCCTTGGAAACTGAACAGCATTTGCATCACTTTCCCTTTCAGAAAACAGGCACTTGATAACTTATCAATAACCTGATTACCTGGCTGGATGGTATCCTACTGTCCCAAAAGGAAACAGGATGTGCTTATTACATTTAACATGTTTATGATAAATTCCAGGGCAAAAAGAATGGAAACTAATAGACATGTTTAACTGAGACTCCTACCCTTTTCAGCAGCCTTGGTGTCCTTGTGGAGGACCTGGTGTTCACCTGCTGAACATCAGTGATTTCTATGCATCAGAAAATAGTCATTGCATACAGACATAGGAATGTATCACAAAAATTGACATTCTGTTCACTCCCAGAGAAACTTCACAAAAAATATCTTGTCTGCTGTTGATTCTAATCTGAGACACAATTCATATTGACTCAGAGAATATCAGCAATTGAAGAGAGAGAATTATCAGCTTTCTAGAGGAGGCCACATGGTCTCACAAATATCATTATTGCACACCAGGTACCTCTCCCAGGAGTCCATCCAGTGTACAAACTGGATGTACTGGATGTTTTACTCTGAAAACCATTTGGACACAGTAGAACCAGGAAGGTGGCCCCTCAAACACCAAGGAATGTGGCAGAGGAATGCTAGATCCCTAAAGGCCACATCTGTTCTCATCAAATACAACACACAAATATTGGACCTGCAGGGAACTCTGCCAGTGCTGCTGCCCTGTCAGAGGTGGTCCAGAAAAATCCTCCACAAGGAAGACAAGACTGCTGAAAAGGTGGTGTCTCTTACAGCTGGTGCAGATGGGGATGAAAGAAAGCAAACCCAGCAAAACCCCCAGATTAATCACAGTACCATAGATGATGAGAGAAAAATGAGAAGGAAAGCTATCATAAAATAAGGCAGCTGTGCCTCTTCTTTCATTTTCATAAGAGAGAAAGTACAAATATTTGACCCTGACTGATATCATAGCAGGGAAAAATAAGAAAGCCCTGGCAAGCTTGTCCCAAGCCAGAACAGGAGTCTGGGAAGGGAGCACAGTGTCAGCTCAGCACCTCAAACACAACCAGACCTGGTGCAGGGTTAACCTCACACAGCTCTGTGCTGTCTGTGTAAGGTCTCACATGCACACACACAGGACAGCCCAAGGCTTGACCTGGCTCACCTCCCTTTTTCTATTCAATGCTTCCACAGAGGGAATCCCAACCTGGCAGGAACTTACAACTACCTGGTTTCACTGGGGTGAAATTGCTCTGCACTCCAATCAGGAATGCTCCAAGCCTGAAGCAGAAATCTGGAGCAGTTTGATGCTGACAGTAACAAAATCTCATGTGACTCCTTCACTTAAGCAGCCTGTCTTTGGTTATCTATAATTTTCATAGATGTTATTTATTTCCAGGGAGACAAGACAGATGCATTTTTTTTAAACAAAATACAACAAAGTAAAGTAGTGTGAGTCCTTAAGGAGCCCTTTACTCAGGGAGTGGATTTATAATCCTTAAAGTAAGGACATGCTCCACTGCAGAACTGTAGCATCTAACCCTTTCAAGCATTCCTGGTCACACACACATGCACACTGTTAGTGATAGGTAGCTATGATTTTTAAGCACATTTTATCTAAGAATATTATTCCATTTCTTTTCTTTCAGGAATTGAGAAGCTTAATGTTAACTATTGCCTTGGCAGAACACAGATGGTGAGAAAAGAGTAAGTAAAATACATTGGTTCCTTTCAGAAACCAGGCCAAGTCCTCAAATGCTGTTCCTATTTCCACAAGGGTAACAAGTTATCCCAGCTGAGGAACTACTCCAACTCTCCCCTGGCCTACTTCCATTTAAACAGAACCACAGGTTCCAGCCACTCACTTAACTGTCAATAGCAGAAGAATATATAAGCACAATATAAATACCATAGAGAAAAGCAAATATCCCAGGAAAACAAAGCAAGCAACACATCCTTACCTTGCTGCTGCTGCTAAGAGGTTCTTGGCATTAGGAGCTCCAGGATCAACAGACAGAGACTTGGCAGCCAGTAACAGCTTGCTGGAAGCCATTGAGATGCTCTTGAGGTTACCTATGACTTGAATCTGGTCCTCTTTAGTCTGGAAAGCCACAGCAGCATAACATTAAACACAAAATTAGCAATCAAGAGAGTGTGCTAAAAGCACACATGGAAACCCAGTTTGTTTATCCACCTGAAACCACAGACAGGTGAGCTCAGAGAAGGAGGGCTCTCACCATCCTCCACCCAGACAGGTGCCCCCAGCTTCACTTACACAACACAAAAAGACCCTTCCAACAAACAGCTTGGCTTCTAACACTGGTAGTATTCACAAATGAGCAATGGAGGAACTTCCCTACTTGTTGAACAATGCTTTTGTTGACAAAAGACTCTTATGTGTCTCTGCCTGGCACAACTGCTTCCCATTATTCAGTCAGTGCAGGCTCTCTGGCACCCTTTGTGCAGCCCACAGGCTTCTCCAGCATCTAACTGGGATTGCTCACACTAAAATATCCTCCAGGAAGCAATCTTTCCCAATAAAACAACTTTCTATAAGCTTACATTGGTCAACATTCTGACTTGGATGCTCTATTACTTATTTTAAGCCATTGCTTGAAATGGGAAACCTGTATTTAAATCCAGTTACAGAAAATTATTGCATCTTTACAGTAAACAGCTGTGACTAGATTCTTCTGCCAATGATCAGTAGAAGTGAACCCATTTTTCCTAACAGTCTGTTCACAGTTTTATGTAAAGGGGTTGCATATTATTCAGTTGGTATGAATAGCTTTTACTCTATATTTGCTACATTCTACTTCCTCCCTACCCCTATATTTTTCTAGTCCCCCAAAATCCCTGCTATTGTTTCTGTACAGGCCAAATACCTACATACAGAAGGCCTTCTCATTTGAAAGATCAGCCATTAATAATTCAGAATAATAACCACCCCTGTGTCAGCAGGGTCAGCAAATTCACAAGGGCCACAAGGTCATCAGCAGCTGGATTCTCATTTCAAGCAGCCATTTGCAGCATCATTTCTACTTCTGCCTTCACTGAATTGCTTCAAACAAAACATTCTAAAAGTCAGTGTGGTCCACAGCTAAAGAGACAGTCAGGTACCTCACTACTGCTCACTTTCAGTCAGCTGTACATGGAGCCCAACTCACTTCACACATCTGGAACCTGAATGATGGAGTCCTGATGGAGAAAAACCACCAACCAGTGTCAGATGTCTCATTTCTATGTACAAAGTATCTGCTCTAGAGACCTTTCATAAATGACTTCAAAGGACTGACACACTCAGGCCCTCCTGGCCACTTTCTGGCAATCATTTCTGGGGTTTGCAGGGTCCTCCTACAAACCAGGGTAAAACCATCTGCAGATTCTTTTTTCTGCAAGTCCTCCCATCTCTTCTGATACACAATTCCTTTTCATATGCTGACATGTGTTATGCTTAATCATTGCCAAATGACCAATTACTGTAGCTCAGCACAACTCTATCCAGTAAGATAAACTGAAGGTGGTGCCTCCAGCTACCAGGAATGAGCTCAGCAATGTGTGACAACATTCCTGATTGTCAGAGCTCCTCAGAGTAGAACTCTGCCACATTTTAAACCACTGAACACAAGTCCAGGTGCTTGCTGTCACATCCAAGGATGGCATTTTAGGCAACCCTCTTCAAGTGTTTGCTCCACTCTGCAGCAGATCCACAGCACCATGGAGCAGTATCAAAGCATCCTTTCCTCTATCTACTTCACAAAAGTAGCAAAGAAAGGTGCTACATTTTGAACAGCATTCACCTAAATTATGCTCCATGGTAGTTCCACCAGAAAGAAGCAACCCTTTCCACAGGCTCAGAGGCTCAGCACACCTTGGTACCTTTGCAGCTCAAACTGCACAGAGGAGTGTGAAGTTGTATTTCTGACTGGACACAGAAACAAATCCCAGCATCCTGAGGAAGATGCAAATGTTGAGTCCGGTCCTCTCCAGATAAGAGCTCCAGATGACTCCCTCACAAACATCTCCTCACACAGCAGCATGCTGTGCTACATAAACACTGCCAGAGGTTATGGCCAAGATTATCCCCCAACTACCATGATCAAGGACTTACTTGTGCTTGGCCAGCCATTTCAATACCAGCATCAAGAAATTCATCAAAGTCATCACTGAATTTGCCAGAGGCTGCAGCCAGCTCCCCACTTTGGCCCCGTGTGGCATGGACAACTTCTCCAGCTGACTGATTCAGGTCTGCTGCTGCCTGGTTCAGCTCACTCTGAGCTTCTTGAAATGACTTAGAACTTGGAGGTAGCTGTAAGAGACAAAGGTCAGTATTTTACTGTCTGTCACATCACACCAGCCTTTCCTGGAGAGTTCAGCACGTGCTGAGAATCCCAAATGCAGCAGAGCAGTGAGCTGGGACTGTGGGACAGCTGTCAACCAGAAATCTGTCCAGCAACTTGTGTCCTACTGTTTCTTTCAAGGCACAGACAAGTCTGTAAGCTTTTTGAGGGACACAAATATTAGCAGCTCTTTAGAATTACTCTAAACTCTCTCTAGTAAACCAGTTTGGTAAAAACCTCCCTGGTTTTATCAAAAGGCATTGCACAAACGTATCAAAATACAATTCCTCCTTCATTCACAGGGTAACAAGGTCAGTGATAAATGCAGAAAAAAAAAGCTGATCAAACAGTATAACCTTCTGGCAAATTACCAATGCAAAAAGGGTTTGTTGACATGAATGCACTTAAACAAAGTAACAATTCTACTCTTTACACAAAATGACCAAGCATTTTTTTGGCAGATCACAATGATCCTTCGAGTAAACTGATCACTTCTAGGTGGGAGATGAACTATCATTTTCTAATTTTCATATTCTTCAGAATGTCAAGTCATAGTTGCCATTTTCAAAACCAAAAAGTTAATACCAATCTATGACCATTTTAATACTGCCTTCACAAGTCACAGACACATTTCACCTTGCCCATAAAACTAGAAAAATGTATTTCAGTCTAAATAGCAGCTGCATAAAGCTGCATAAACTTAAACACAGCTTACATGAAGTATACTTAGGGCTCATTTACTAATTAATGATTTGCCACATGAGGAACTCAGATCTCCTGTTCAGTTTTCTAAAATCTATTTGCACATGAAAAGCCATCTTACCGAATCCACCAGGAGCTTCTTGCTGGATTCCCCAATGCTCTTTAAGGCCACATCCACATCCTTTTGTCCAGGCAGACAATTCACACAGTTATTCAAGGAGTGAGACACTGCTTTTGCTACCTGCAACACACAGGTGAACACTTGCACACTCAGAGAGGTTTAAGTGCTCATTAATGGGAGGCACAGCCTCTACTCCATAGCCAGCAATTCCTACTTTCTGACCCTCACAGGAACATTTTTGCAACTTTCTCAGTTTGTTGCCCTGCAGTCTTTATTCAGGCTCACCCATGGGATAGGATGGTGTTGGCAGGGCAGCCCCACAATTGCTCCTGGAGCCTGCAGCACTGCAGATAACTTCAGGGGATTCCCTTATCTATCAACTATTCACAGAAATTTGTTGCATGCCACTTTTTACACAGATCTGATTAAAACAAAGATATCTTCATAAGAAATTATTTACAATGCAGGCCAATTCTAGAACCTTTCAAATCAGTAAAAAGTGAACCTGTCACTCCTAAAGAATTCAAACATAGTGGTGCTACACGTGAAGAAAACATACACTCATTTTTTGAATATAATATGGACATAGATCTTTTATTTGAAAATTACCAGTTTAATGGCTGTCTCACTTTTGCAGTCAAACAGTCTCCTCACATATGTTGTGGGTAAAAGCACAGAGCTGCATCTTTGTATGTTTTCCTAAGAGATGACTAAAATACCATACTTCTACCATTTACATTGTTTAACCTAGGCAGGATATTGTCTGAGAGCTGAATAGAAAGTTGAAATATCTATCAGCCTTATTTTCTGTCACTCTCTCTCCTTATTCAGTGCTGGTTTGGAGTAAATTCACTGGGTGTTTGACAACTCTTGCAGCTGCCCAAGTCCCAGCTTACCTGGGCAAGTCTCTGCTGGCTGTCTGCGTCCCCTGGGGCAGCCAGGGCCTGCTTGGCCTCCTGGATCAGCATGGCAGAGCCTTCCATGACATCCCTGGCTGAATCCAGCATGGCATGGGCTGCCACAGGGTCACTGGTGGATGCTGCCACCCCTCGAGCTGCCTGAGCCAAAGTCTTCAAGGCCTGAGCAGTTTCTCTGGCAGCAACTCCTGTGGTCACAGTGCACCAAGGATTCTGTTAGTACCTTTAAAGACAATCTTTGTGTTTCATGACATGATCTTGCAGGTAATGATCCTATTGCAAAATAACACTGCCAATGCAATTTAAAAGAAAACCTTCAAACAGGAACAAATTTGAAACACACAGAATCATTTGCTGATTGAAATGCCTGTAGTGAAGCCATAAAGTAAATGTTATAGCCCAAAAGCCACATTCTGGGTACAGCTCTCAGTGACTACAGCCTAGTGAAGCACTGAAAAAGAAGAAAAGCTAAAACCTGAAGATGAGGAAAAACTCATACTCCAAGCTATGGAGGAAGTGATTGTCTGCAAGAATGGTGTACAGGAGTTCAGAGCACAGCACAACAGTTTAACTTCAAGCAATCAAAAAAAGATGATTTGGAATGATACAACTTGATATAACCTAACATCACTGTGAGTAAAAACATATAAAAATAACTGAATGAAGGCACAGAAAGGATGTAATAAAATTACCTTCTGCTAAAGGACATCTATCAACTGCAGTGCTAAGGCATAGGACTATGTGAATAATGGTCTCCTTCTGTTTATGAAATGATTGGAAAGGAACTCATTGCTTTGTAGGGTTTCCTACAATCTGATGATGAGAGCTACAAGGTTTGCCTATTCATTATCAGCTGCAAGTATCTGTACTCCCTTGCCTGGTGCCTACTTGTGCACAACTGTGACAGAAACATGAGCTATCTTGATGAAACTCCACCTGCTGCAAATGAAAGCAACTCAAAGTTCTAGAGCCCAGATGCAATTATAACCAATGAAGTGGCAATTGCCATAACACATTTTATCAGGAATATTAGAGAAAAAATCTTATGGGAGCATTTGCAACAACAGAATAAGGACACAGAACATGTTACCATCTACGAGTAAGCTTCTGTCCCTCCTGCAGAGCATTTTTCTTATCAAGGTATTTTTGTTCCTAAACTAAAAGTACAGGTACAGAAACAAACTGCAGCATCTGTGTGCCCAGGTTTCCTATTGGCTTCACCTCAAACCATGCAAATGTGCTCAATGAATGTGCCAGAGCAGCTGCATTGTACATGAACTGGGAACAGCTAGGAAGAGAGGCAGTTCTGAATGTCACCAACCTGTCCCCAGCTATGTTTGCACCCTATAGCTTCAAAACACATCCAAGGCACCCTGTAAGCCTTCTGCAAGGACACAGCAACATTTCCAGTGGCCCTGACCTTTAAAATGCAATACATTTTATTTCAGCCTTTCACAGTTTCAGTGGCACATATTTACAAAAACAACAGATGTCCCAATCTATTCTGATTAAAGACAGAGCAGATTGCATCACTGTTCTTTTATGAAGTGTGAGTCACACTCAATTCTTCATAACTTACCACAATTCACTATCAGCACTATAAAAAATACGGAATTTCTTGATTTAAGCAGTCTGTGATAGGAAAACCTTTCCTCAAGGTGATGGAAAGCAGAGGTTTCAGAGCCATTATGGATAAAGCAGTACCTGTGTAGTGCTCGTTGCCCTGAGCAGCACAAGTTAACAACTGGGCCATGGAAGAACCCACGGCTTTGGATGTGCTTCCCAGGTCCTGAGTGCACTTCTCGAGCTGTAAAAAATGGCAAAGGACAAATGACTTAGTTTAAGCTCAACAAAAATACACTTTGTTTTAAACAGTACTGAAAAATTCCTTATTCCACAAAAACCACCTCAGCTTCTGAACATACACACAATTTCTCTGAAATCTGACTGACTGTTCAGTCAGGATGAAATAAATTAACATATTAGGTAGTGTGAACAATAAAACTATTTCACAATTGGCAATGGAAATAAATACCTTCATCCAAGGAAGGGCTTTCTCCCCATCACCAAATAAACAATTTCATTTTCTATGCCTACTAGAACTGGCTATCCTGAGTTCTTATCATTGTCACTATTGAAAAGCAATTATTTTTGACAAGACCAAAACATTATTGTTACCAAATTGTAATTTGGACAATAGAGAAGGAAGCTCTGCATTCCTATCAGTAACTCTACTACAGAACACACTGCTGCTGTAGTAGTACCATACACAATTTTAAGAGAATCAGTGCAAAATCCTATCAGCATGATCATTATCCAAAACTTCATGACTTGTTTTGCCTCTAATATTTAAGTTTTTAACAGCTAACTTTGTTTGTTTTTAAATGAAGAACATCCTTCCTCAATTACAGTTTCTCCTGGGAGAGGTTTTAACTGTCCATCCACTGCTGCCATCTTCGCATCCTGCAGTTCATTTTTGAGTGTCTGGACTGTATTCAAAGCAGAATCAATTTCCATTGGGCCACAAGCTTCATGAGCCTGTTCAGAAAGCAGATCAGCACCACTGTTAGCAGCTGTACACAACTTTCAGAAACAGTAAATGCTTCAGATCTCATCTCCCCTCCCATATTATTTCTCTTCCTACTTTAGAGGCCATTGTGAGCCCTCTAAATCTTATATATCATGGATTCCAAACACTTGCTTTATGTGCATGTCCCTTCACAGCAGGCAGCCCAGGGACTGAGAAAGTGACTGTGGCACTCTGGATGTCCCCTTGGACAGCGGCCTCACTGAGCATCATGACCCAAATCCCAGTGACTCCCTGAAGTGGCACCCACACTCACCAGTATGGGATGGAAATTGTAGCATTAGCTCAGGTGTAGCCATTTCAATGCTACAATCCTGGCCTCAAGATCAAAAAAATCCGACTTTCCACTTGTATTTTTTAAGCCCCACATAGTTTAGAAATCTGTGTGTGAAACACAGAGCATCTGCTTCCCTGAGTTTTAGAGATGATGGTTCCAGTTCACAGTTAGAGCCCAGCAGAGCTGTAGCTGGCTCTCACTGGTTTGGTGGGGCACGAGATGTGTTCCCTTTTCCCTGCTCTGCCCTGAATGTAACAGCAGCTCAGAGCCTTGATGTGCTGCTCTGCACACTCTGCTCCCATCTGCCTGGTATGGAAAGGGCAGCACAAGCTGTTTCAGCTTTCTTGTCACTTCTCCCTCCCCTTTCTCTCATGCCACAGAGGCCACCTGGGAGTCTGAGCAAAATGTGCACAAAATTCAGCAGGGAGAGGTGAGCCCTGCCTCAGGGGGACAAGAAGTCCTCTTGTTTTAGCTGATTAAAAGCAGGATTTATTTTCCTACCTTCTGGGAGGCAGTTCTCAGCTCAGCTAAGCTGGTAGCAAGGTTCTTTGCACACTGACTGAGCTGCATTGCTGCTGCTTGGTCAGTCACTGTGGGGACAGCAGCTTTAGCAGATGCCACCATTTTACTTCCAGGCTGTTCAGAGAACAACAGTGAACACAGTTAGTTTTACCAGCTCATTTTCTTTAAAGAAAGTTTAGGATTCAATAAACAAATAGCTTCTTTCATTCAACGCTCATGAGGTTTCTAGATTTTTCTTTAATGACCAGCACGTTCCTGCTCCTTAAGCTGGCACATCCTGTCAGAATTCTGTCCCATTTCCAAGCCCTCTGCAGCAGGACTCATCTGTGCTTCACTGGGACAATGATTACTCCATTGGTTCCAATATCTGCCTTTGAATACTCGTGTAAACTACTTAAAAGTACTGAAATGTGAAATTTTGCCACTCAGCATTCATGTGGTACAATCAGCTCAAGGTGGCAGAGATGGCAAATTTCTCTCTACATTTCTAAATATTAACCTCTGCCAAAATTCTATGAAATTAAAACTGTAATTCAAGCAATGCCTCTACACAGGGATTACTGCTGATACAACTAAAAACCTTTGCTGATTCTCACCATCACCACTGCACACACACACAGCCACAGGGAGATGGATCAATCATGTCAATGACTCCAGAGGGAATCACAAAGCAAATACTCAAACAGAGTGAGAGGATGGTTTGTGATCCCTCTGCCTACACAGGACCATAAAAACCTGCTAACAGCCGTCACTTTAAGGTAAGATTAACTGATGTCAATAATGACCATGCCATTACACAGAGAATTGGTTTCTGGTGTTGTTTCCTGTCATGTTAACAATAAGCCAATAGTTCTGTTATCAATACTCAATATTCTATCTTTCTATTTTAAGATGTTATAGCAAAAGCACACAGTCAAATTTTGTGTTTTTCCCAAACCATCAATCTAGATCTATTATGCAGGCTAATATCTAAAAACCATGCTAGTATTTCCTTCTATTTCTGAGGAATTCTGAAACCTGCTGCTGCAACACTAAGTTTACCTTGCTTAAAAATGTTACCACAGCCTGTCACATATTCAGACTCAGATCTCTACTTAGAGAGATGCTAAATTCCCTCCATTTTGTACTTTAAACTCTAACCCAGAAGACAAGTGTACAGCAATGACTGTTTCTTCTTCATAAACATACTTTTTTCTTGTTACTTTTAACCTCAATGTCAGCAGTTCTCACTCTCCATAGCCACAATGAATTCACCTAACCTGAGAAACAAAATTCTGCCTGCCTATGGCTCATAGCAGTGAATTCTTTACATGGTTCTTAACAGCTTACTGTTATTTAGCACTCAAAAAATGCTTTTTACGTCTACTGCAATGATTGGTTCACTTCACCTGAAGGAAATTCTGGCTGGAATTGATTAAAGCAAGCTGAGCACTGAGGTCTTCTGCCTGAGCTTGACTTCCTCTTACACCCTGCACCAGCTGAGGAATGTGGTCTGCAACAGTCTAAAATGGACAAAGGGAAAAGATTTTCAGTAAAACAATAAAAACTCAAAATCCTCTGAAATAAAACAAGCAGCCTTCTCACTCCCCTTGAAGACAACTGCAGTATTCCTGGGTAAATTACTTCTGTGCTGGCATAGAATTAATTTAGGATGCATGGAACCAAACTAGTACACAATAGGACTTTTTATAGATGTTCTATGCAAGAAATCATTATTGATTTCATTATTGATTGGTGATCCTCATCAGCTCCCCAAAAGCATTGCTCAGGAGTTGTTTGCCATGGGCTGTGTTTACCTTGCAGCTCTGCACAAGTTGCTGGTGGGCTGCTGTGTTCTTGTTGGAAACAGCTGCATTCTGAGAAGCTGCAATGGTCTGAGTAGCAGCAGCTGCAGCTTGTTTAGCTGCAATCTTTGGAGAAAAAGAAAGTTAAATCAGTTCTAAAAGTAAATAATTCAAAGGATGGAACACACATCACTATAGGTAACTTTGACAGTAACAACATTGACAAATTAATACATTTTATCCCTTATTTGCCTTAAGGAAACCTCAACTGACCATCATTGCTCTTCTCTCAAAGTGAAAATGGTTGGAATACAATTACCCATCTCTGATTTGCCAATAAAGAAAAAGGCAGACTTAGAAGCATTCTATGCCCTGACTCTTTCACAACTTAGGTTTCAACAGGAGGAAGATAAATGAATTACAACCAGCAGAAATGGTCTAAACAAAGAGTTCCTATGAAGGAAACATAGGAGGAAACAGCAAAGTCCCCACAGTGCTGCACTGACACCTCTGAGCCAGGGCTCAAGGGAGCCAATTTCTGCTGAGACTGCTCTCTGGCAAAAACAAAGATCCTACAATGACACAGAGGTACAAAATACTGCTGTTTCTGAGTCTAAAAGCATTGTGAAGACCTACTTCAAATGTTATTATCGACCTCTCCCTATTAAAAAATAAAAATTCAACCACTTATCCAAGGTATTTCAACATGTTGTACAACACTAACTGGCCCAAAAAACAGAAGCAAGCATGAAGTTTGTTACATGTTATACTCCTTTGTAAGCCAGTATATGTTATAACAGCAAAACACATTAAATACTGTTTTTCTAAAGCTTTCTTGAATGCAATTAGAAAATTAGAGACATCAGCCTTTATTTCCAATAGTCGTGATTTTTACTTCTAGACAGACACAGGAACTCAGTGTATTTCTGGAACATGGTCACCTTACTGCATTTGAATCAGGTTAATGCAAAAATCACAATTGCAAACTAGGAACTCTGAAAAGTTTTTTTTTTTCAATCTGTCTTTTCTTCATTTTAGTTGAGAATGTGAAGATCAAACTCTGCTCACAAAACAAATTTCCATGGTATTTTATCCTTACTAAATTGCTTTTCTCCTTCTTTCTTGGCTGGGGCACTAGATAGGATGTTTTAGTTCCATCTCTGCTTCCTGACTCTGAGTAATTCCCCAGTTTAACTGGACATGCTGTGATCCAACTAACTTGGTACAGAAATTCCTCTGGAATTCTATATCCCAGTAAAGGCACAAGAGGTACTGTGTGTAAATGGCACACCAGAGAGATAAATTAACACAGCAGTGAAACCATTTCAGCTCAGCTGTTTAATTTTAGGACTAAGCCACCATCAAATGCCTTCTGAGTCAAATCCTTACAGCACTTTACCACATCTGTGACACAAGTTACTCAATTTTCTGAGAACTATGTTATGATGTACTGCCATGTCTAATTCTAAGCTTTGTACTCTGGAACTGAGCTTACAGCACTGTCATTCTCTGCTTAGCACTTTCACTACATGGTTTCCAACCTCCAGTCTGTTGACAATTTTCTTCTTGATGGCATTCTGTGCTGCAGCGTTTGTAGCAACCCTCAGTCCCTCTGCTGCTTCCCTCAGACGCTGCTGCTGATCTTCATTTTCAGGATTGGCTGCAGCTCCCTGCACAAAATGGCCAAGCAAAAACTGTAAGTCTGAGTAAAAATGACTGGGGAAAATGTGGATGAGCATCAAGACTTAAGTTCAGACAGTATCTGCGACATCAGCATTCATTTTCCTTAAACTATCACAAGGAAGTTGGAAGAACACTGAAGTATTACAAAACTTCAGAAAGTTTGTTTCTAGGGGAAGGCTGTTACTATGTCTGGGACTTAGAGGAAGAAAGATAAACATTTGCTTCATATACCACTTCAGGTGCTTGAAAAAAGCCTTTTTTAACTGCTTCTCCTCTGATCTGAAATAATGTACTTGTATGAATATAGGGCTTTGGAAAAAAAAAAAAAAAAACAGTTTTAAAATTCCCAATTCAATATGTCTTCCAGTAACTGCAGTCCAAAACCTGAAGTTTAACACAGCAGATCTTCTCCACTTGAAGTCAGAAAATACTGGAAAGCCAAGGATAGCAGCCAGGCACACAGGCCTTCTGGAGTCCCAGCAAGAATGGCTGGCCCTGCTGCTGTAAAAATCACTTCAATGCAGGATCTGGGAAACAATACAAAGGAATTAAAAAATTCAATTCCTCCCTAGCAGACTGAAACAGAAAGGAAAGAAAAGTTGTGATATTTGTGTCTCTTGTGAAAACAAGGAGGGAAGGATGTGGAAGGGAACAACACAGGCAAGACTGCCCAGGTGAAGGAGACTTTGTCAGGCAGAGGGGAGGTGCAGTGCAATGACTGCAGGAAGAGATGGCTGTGGCTCTGTGGTTCCATCTGGGCAGTTGCAGTGTAATGACTGCAGGAAGAGGTTGCTGTGGTTCTGTGGTTCCATCTGCACTGGTACAGCCCCGCACCACAGCAGGGCTCAGGGCTGTGGGAACTGCCCTGCATGGTTGAGCCACGACCACAATGCACACAGGAAAGCAAAAGCAGTGCAAGATGATCTTTTAAAACCAAAAAAATCCAGGTAGCTGATAAATTGGTTTTTGGAATGTATTAAGTCATTAAATGCTGAACTTTTACAGAATAAGAGAAACCAGATAAACAGCCAGGTGCTATTTATAAATCCCACACAGCCTCTCCTCCTTGTGCACAGCATTACAATTTCAAGCTGACAGCTCATTTCCCTGGTACCTTTGCAGCTTCCACCATGCGGGCTGTGGAGTCTGCCAGGAGCTTTGCAGCAGCCAGGAGCTTCTTGGAGTTCTCCATGTCAATCTCAGCCTCAGCATCAGACCTCATGGCATTGACCAGATCCGAGGTGGCCTGAGCCAGCACGCGCGCCTGCCGCACCATCTCACCTGGGAGCACAGGGTGGAAAATGCACAGCCCCATCCTCACCCTCTGCTCTCTGCACTGCAGCCTTGCTTCAAACCTCAGCACCCCTTCACAAGGGAAAAATGGAACTTCCATTTGCTGAAGTGTTTTTTCACTTGAAAATGATACACATGTAACTTGAAAGTTTCATAAGCGAATCTTGGACCCCAATATAAATGACAGAAATCACTACAGTGGAGATAAAAGTGTAGTGTTTGCAATCTAGATGGTAAGACAAAAACAATCAGTAGTTTTAGGTAATTTTGAATATACAGTTCAAGGAAACTCCTGTCCCAGCAAAAACTAACAACTTGGCTTTTAAGTCACAGCCAAGATTTCACTCCTTCAATAAAAATCATCCATCTTGTTCCTGTGTTTCTAGGGAATTATCTTTTGTCTCATATAAACTGAGAACTTTGTCAGAAAACACTTAGCACCATTAGGTTGGTTTTAGCCAAAACCATCTTGTTTCTTCTTTAAGAAACTGCACTTCTTAGAAACATCTCAGAAGAAAAAGTAGATTTAAGTTTAAAAACCTACAACAAAATCTATGCATAGTAACACCAATCACTGTGAAGGATTTGCCCAGGTGCCTGTCTTCTTATTTGGAGATGAGAAACTGCTATACAATACTATGGAGTGAAGCAGTGGCAGAAAACACAAAATATTACAGTGTTCCTTCAGCATGGTTTTGATTGTTTTCACTGAATATTTACTCCACCTAGCACACAGCTATGTGCACTCTGCTGATTTATATTATGAGCTGGATACCCACCCATGGTGACAGCACTAGCTTAGAAGCAAAAAACAGAGAAGAAGGCTTTTTATTTTCTTGACATACTGTTTTAGCTATGATATTTTCTGAAAAATCCTTTCCTTAGGATTTTTCCTCCTAGGGAAGCTGAGAAGCCTCAGGAACAAAATGCAAACAATGGTTATCTGCTGCTGTGGAATGCAACAGGTGGGTCTGTGATTGGGCTCATGTGGTTGTTTCTAATTAATGGCCAATCACAGCTAGCTTGGACTCTCTGTCCCAGACACAAACCTTTGTCATCATTCTTTCTTTTGCTATTCTTAGAAAAGAAAGAATGAATGACGAATGAATGAAATCCTTTCATCCTTCTGATGAAATCCTTTCTTCTATTCTTTAAGTA